TCTTAAGCAGTGTTAAATACGTTCTTAATCAGTTTAAACCCGTTTGCAATTAGTTCTACCTCGTTCTCAACACGTCCTCGGACAGTTCAACTCGTTGTTAAAACGTCCCTAGTAAGATTGAAGTATGACAGTTCCGTTCGTAGTACGTCCAGCTCGTCGTTAGTACGTTGTCACTGTTTCTAATTGTAGAACGTGACGACCCCGAGTACATTTTGAGCGTTGTCTAAGTCCTAGAGGACCTACCCGTTCGAGTACGTTCGATGAAGTTTCTAAATAGATCCCAAACGGTTCTTAGTACGTCCAGTCCGTTCGTACACAGTTGAAGCCCGTTTTCGAGAACGTAGTGAGAACTAGTTTGGTGTGATAGTAGGGTTAGCGCCGATATGAATTCATTATTATGGTTGGCCTATTAGTATAAAGAATGTATGCGTTGTTTACGGGTGTGTAGGCGTTAATTACGCTCGTGTAGATGTAAAATTACGCCCGTGCTGACGAAAAATTACGCCTGTGTAGGCGTAAATTACGCCCGTGAAGAAGTAAATTCTACGGGCGTTCAGAATACATTTACAGGCGTGAACTTACGGCGTTAAAATGATTAATTACGGGCGTTAAGACTGTTATTTTACACGCGCTGAGAAACATCTTCACGCCCGTGGAGTTTATTTTTAGCGCCGTAAATTATGAACCAATCAGAACCATACTTCAATGTACTTACATGATGATTTAATGCATCCTTGCTAAAAGAGCAACTCCGAGATACTTGCGCTAGTAATCAACAATCAGAAGCCTGCTTACATTTTAGTGTGTTGCATTGAGGTCCTTAAATATTCGTTCAAGATTGAACTAGATTTAACCAAAGAAGTATTCATTTTTTTTATCATATTACAAGTGCATGATACAGGGGTTGCCATTTTAGTAAAGGGTGTCAATACGTTTCTGTGCTTGATACAGGGTATATTTAATGGAAAAGGTTAAATTATGATGTTGAATTATTGGTGTCTATCATATATTTAAGAACTGCCATCTATATATGAATATAAAGTTTAAATAACTAACGTGAACAAAAGATTAATGAGATTCTGATTGTTTTGTTCTGAGAATGCTGCTGCCATCTTTGAATAAACTCTAAATTATCAATGATATAATTATAATCTATTGTGATAACGAACACCTCCCAATCTGAATGTTTTTAACTGCACGGTGGCATTTGGATTAGACAGGTTTTACTGTATGAGTAATAGTAATACTGAAATTAAAAAAAATCTGAAGGCCTAGTCAATCTATTTTGGGAAATATTCTCAGCTATTTGAAATGAAGATCAACTTTGTAAGAAGTCTCTATAATTATTTTTTTAATTTATACAATAACATTATACTCAACTTTAGTTCAAATTCCAATGCTCTGGCCTTGGCTAATCAAAACAGTTCATTGCAATTGTTTCATCAATTATTATATTATTATATTAATATATCATAATTATTTCACATGCAAATACTGTACTGCCACTAATATTTGATGCTGTTATCTTTCACAATTTTGCAATTTTGAAATTTTGCGGATATCAATTTTCGCTAATTATAATTTTTTTATAATTTTGTATCTATTTCTTTCACCATCATATCATTTCTCAAAAAAATTTCCAGCTTATTTGATTAAATGTTTTTAAAACCAAGAAATATGAATGAAACAGTACCTTCTTACCTTTAATTATTGCTATACCATGTACTTAAAGCCTTTACATGACACCTATCAGCTATCACCTGCTTCAAAAGCATAGGAGAAACTAAACTATTTAAATTTTTTTTATATTTTCTGTTTGGGAAAATCTGTTAGTTATCAGCTGCATTTTTGTCAGTCAAGATTTCTCTTCATCAAACCAAATCAAATCCAAGGAATGTTTAGTCAAATATCCAGTTGTTCAGGAATCAAACTCAATTCAAAGAATGATTAGTTCCATAGTGTAAACATATACAACTTTGAACAATATTGGTATCAGCCATTATGTTACATTAAAAAAAAACAGAATGTAAAACTGTAAAAGACTTTCATGTAAGCAGGAAATTTCTTGAAAGAATACTAAAGGTTTCGCAACAGAATTTAGACGGTCTAATGTTGAATTGCAGAAATTTTCTGAAAATGTAAGGTGTGTATGTTAGGCCAATGCATTATCTAAAGGAAAAGTACTCATACAGATGATAAAAAAATTGGAGATTGAGACAGGGAAGGTGCAAAGACCCCATCAACATTTTTTTCAAAAATGTTTTCCTGATTTTCAGTTCCTTCCATTTTTTATAATGTTTTCACATTAATATGTTGCATTTGTAGACAAAGTTAACATACTAAAGAGAAAATATTTTCCTTTTAAGAGTTTATTTGTGTCTCCAAATGCAACATACTGATGCATAAAGCATTTATAAAAATTGAGTAGAAGGGGAAATTTTAAATTCAACGAACATATAGGCCCACTGAGCATTTATTTTGCACAGGGCCTTTATTAGAAAGAACTCAAAATAAATGCCATTGGCTTTTATTAAGACTAAGAGGGAAATTGAAAACATTTTTCCAAGGGGACAGGCATTTATTAAGAGGGAAAATAGCTTTCCCAAGCCAGTGGGTGTTTATTTCGAGGCGTATTATCAATCGAAGAGTTGACACATGGCCTTCATATACTCATGCAATAGTATATATCATCTCTGATTGCACACTTCTGTTTTACCTTTCAAGCATTCGATTTGGATTTTGGAATGTCATAAAGCTATGCGGTCAAAAGTAATCTTAATACTTTTTAGTGAAAATGCATTTATATTTTTAAAATGCAGAATCTTGCGAATGCAAAATCCTCGAAATCCGATCACCTCCACATCTGAATGTTTTTTTTTAACTGGTCATGGTGTTTTTACTGGTCATGGTGGCATTTGGATTAGACAGATATTACTGTATAAGTATTAGACAGATATTACTGTATAAGTATAATAGTATTACTGGAATTCCAAAAAATCATAACGCCTACAATGCTAGTAATATTAAGTGAAAATGCATTGATATTTTTTCAAAATCAAGAATCTTTCGGATGCAAAAACCTCGAAATCAGACGTTTAAATCTGAATGTTTTTAATTTGTAGCGGTGGCATTTGGATAAGACAGGTTTTACTGTATAAGTATAATAGACATTAATAGTATTACTGGAATTCCAAAAAATCATAAGGCCTATAGCAACAATCATGTGAACTTCAGGTCAAAATTCCAATGCTCCCTTGGCCAATCAAATCAGTTCATTGCATTTGTTTCATCAATGCTCTCAATATCATAATTATTCCACATGCAAATACTGTACTGCGAGTTTAAATTTCATGAATTTTGAGAAATACCAATTTTGCGGCCATTAAATTTTGCGGATATCAAAGGTTTAACTTCCATTATTCTCTGAATCCTCAAAATTAATTTATCTTATCTACAGTAATTACACCTACCCAATATCATATACTTTGGATAAGATTTACAATCTCTAGATCTTAGTCAATGGCATGTTGCACCTCAGCCTTTAATTGGCGATATTCGCGACTATTAATTTTCGTGATTTTTACACAATCGCGAAAAGCACGAAACTAAATTGCACGCGAAAAATATCGGGAGTACAGTACATTGAAACCATACACTCTTATATTTCATAAGAATTTGCAGTCAAGCCTAACAAATCTATTGGCAAAATATTAGAAGGCCAGCAAATGTACACATGCTAAAGTGATGAAACTTTAATGAATTTTAATTTTGCCTATACAGAGATGTGTTAAACTCTATTTGGGTTAGATTTATTCGGCTACACCCTCTACTTACAGCCTTAACATGCCCCCTATCGGCTATCACCCGCTTCAAAATCATAACAGGTTCCTTTATATCTTCCTTTATCTTCTGTTTAAGAAAAGCTGTTAGCTATCAGCTGTATTTTTGTCAATCAAGATTTCTTTTCATCTGTGAATTACCCAGCGAGAAACCAAAATGGCAATTTTGATGGAAAGACACAAAGTACCAGTCAAAATCTCTGAAGATTTCCGGGCAAACAATGGCAGCTCTCCCAGTTAGGTTTTAGACTGTCTTCTCATATTTTGTCAATTTTATTCAATTTCAAGTATTGTTTAGAGTTGTGCGTTCAACATATTCGAGAAGTCAATAGCTATAATAAATCTGCAGATTTTGCTCGCATTTATGTAAGCTTTTCTCTTTTGACGGATACTTTGTGTCTTTCCTTGAAATCATGACAGGTGTAACTGATCTACTGAAATCAACTTCAAGTGCTTACTACTATCTCCCAATGTGAGCTACATCAGTGCTTTTTGTTGAGAAAATATGTAAGTTATTAGCCGCTTTTTTGCCGATCAGGATTTAAATTCTCTTTATCTGTCATGTACCTAGCAAGATTCAGAGATTTTGACTTGTACGTCATGTCTTTCCGTCAAAACTTCCATTTTTGGTTTCTTGGTAAAGAGTAGCTTCTCAATGTATTGTCGGACCTGGCCAAAATCTGGTAGTGTGGTTGTGGTCGGGTCACGAACAATTTTTATTATTTATTATGGGATTCTCACTGGTCTTATGTGGGCGCAGACCTGGTTTGGTGGTACTGCTTTCACTGAAAGGGGAGGTGGTCACACATATGCATACAAAATACAGATATACAATTTTTATAATTTATTAACACTATAATTAAACAAATAAAATTCAAGTGTCCATATAATAATCAAATGTAAGTTGTGTTGTTGCTCTTCTCCCGTTGTACTCTACTCGACTTTACTCTCTATTCTGTTTTGGTTTCGTCTCTGCTATCTGCTGTGCTTTATGTTCGACTCTGTTTGTTCTGCTTCCTCTTGACTCTGTTTTGCTTTACTCTGTTCTGCTCTGCTCACTCTTTATTCCTTTCTGCTCTGCTTACTCTTTTGCTTACTCTTTACTCCTATCTGTCCTGCTAACTCAGGATTCTGCTCTCCTTACTCTTTACTCCTATCTGCTCTGCTCTGCTCTGCTTACTCGTTACTCCTATCTATCCTGCTTACTCAGGATTCTGCTCTGCTTACTCTTTACTCCCATCTGCTCTGCTCTGCTTACTCGTTACTCCTATCTGTCCTGCTTACTCAGGATTCTGCTCTGCTTACTCTTTACTCCTATCTGCTCTGCTCTGCTTACTCGTTACTCCTATCTATCCTGCTGACTCAGGATTCTGCTCTGCTTACTCTTGATTACTCTTCTTCAGCCCGAGTTACTCTTCTTTACTCTTCGCCGCTCTACTGTGCTCTCTCCTCTGTTCTGGTTACTCAGGATTACTCTTCTTCAGCCCGAGTTACTCTTCTTTACTCCCGACCACGGTTCTTTACTCCTCGTTCTCACAGATTACTCTTAGCTTACTCTCTGGTAGTTCTGCCTAGAGTAACAAGTACTCTAAGCTCACTGGTAGATACTGTAAGGCCAATGAGTAAACGTGATTTAGTCGTCTGTCATCTGCTAAGGTTTTACTCTCGCTATTCTTCTTTACTCCTAGCCACTGCCATTTACTCCTCTGGTCCAGGTTACTCTCCGAACTCACTGATTACTCTTAGCTTACTCTCTGGTAGTTCTGCTTAGAGTAACAAGTACTCTGAGCTCACTGGTAGATACCGTAAGGCCAAGGAGTAAACGTGAGATTAGACTTGAACTACACGTGGACCGGAAGTCATCCAAGATGGCGGAATTACACGTGGACCGGAAGTCATCCAAGATGGCGGGCTTTCAAGGGATTGTGGGAACTGTATGATGCAACCGCCAACATCAACGCTGAATTACAAAGAATCAAGTTAAAACCTTTCAATTCTATCACAAAAAGGAATTATAAAACTAGATTAACACTCACAAACTCTGACAAACGTCCTCTAAGCGCCTCTAGACTGCAGTCTCCCTAGCAGCTCTCCCTGGACGCCAATAACATTTCTGGCCAAATGGCTAAATATCCACGTGTCACTGTCTGTTTCAGCCACAAACAGTGTGAAATAATCCAATAAACTCCGTCCGTCACTTGGTTAAACTCTATCCTCCTTTTGAGAGTTCAACACTCCTTGAATTGACATCAATTCCACCAGGAAAATCACAATCTTCCATCAACTTCTTGAGCCAGCTTCTGTAAAATGACACTACAGGTCCTCACACTTCAACTTCTTGAGCTAGACTAACATCAGGTGTTCAGATCATGTGCTATCTCAACCCACTAATGAGATGCATAAGGAAGCGATCTGATTGGCTACAGCTGGACTGAGCTGGTGTGTTTACTCCATTTGGTGATGCATTGTGGGAAATCACCATAGCAATGTCAATCAAGTAGCCTCTAATTCCTGGTGACTCATAACCATGTGGCCTATTTCTCCTATGGGTTGACCAATTCCAGGGCAAGGGTTCCCGCACAAGCAAAGAGTAAGGTTACTCTTACTCTTACTCCCAGCTTACTCCTTGAGTTTATGGTTACTCCTAAGTTACTCTTTGAGATTTGCACTTACTCTTAGTTTACTCTTTGCACATGAAGTGTTACTGACATATAAAAACAAACTTCTTACTTGACCAAAGATTATTACATTTTGATTAAAATAAAAAATAAGTGGGGAATTTCTAAATTTCCCACAGTATAATGAGAATTTGCTGTTCGGCACAGAAGCACCTTTTAATTTTTTTCGATTTTCGCAAGGAGGACACTTACACAATTTTGAAGCGGTTGATAGGGGGCTCTAAAGGCTGTTCTAACATATCAGTCACAGCCTCTGAAAGAGCTAGATCTAAGGCTCTAGCTTTAGGCTAGTCTAAGTCCTATAGATCTAGTAGTCTAGGCCTAGAGTCATAGCCCAGGCATAGGCCCGTAAAAATGTAAAGAAATAAAGCTTACAGCATGTTCTATTTAAGTGAATTTGACTCATGTTATACATGTTCCGGGCCTATGCCTAGTATAGTCCCGCAGGACGAAGAAGATAGAATGTAAAAATCAAATTGAAAATCAAAATAATCGAACGAAAAAAAATTGAAAAAGTTGAAAATTCGATTTCGATTCAATTTGATTTTCTGCCATTATAAATGAAATACTGTACTTACCAACATGTTTCTCGGATATATATGTTGTTCTTACTTTATCTTCGCCGAAGATCGATGTTTATTTATATATAACAATCGAATAATCGACATAATTCAAACTCATCACTACGACACAAAAATATATCACTTTCGAAACCATGTAAACTGCTAAGACGACGTCATTTATATCCGGGATTGCTTTGCAAACTCCACACAACAGACTGTCCCATCTTTTCTCCTGCTTTCTCCCGATGCAATTCATACATTACTCGGAGATTACTGTCAAACGTTCCAAGTTTTACAATTTTAGCATGTTTATTACGATCTAATTCCTGCCAATATCAATGAATAAATCTATTGACCAACAGTTTGGAAATATGTATTCCAGCGATACCCTCATTTTGACGAAAGAATGGTACAAATATGTCCACTATTTATCGAGATATCGTGTAGAAAAATTGAAGAAAGATATCGCTTAAGAAATTTCTATTTCTAGACTGAACTGTTCACGCTCGCAAGTGGCATCTCCAACTCCATATATGGGCAAAAAGGTGGAGTTAACAATAAGCAATGCAGGGATTGACACGATTGACACGAAGAAGTCTCGATGAATCTCGCTTAAACTCCGCCCCTTCTTCGTGAAAAATCACGTGAATTCCGGCTTTTGCTGGGACATATCCGGGCATCTCGGCTTCGAACCCAATCAGAAGTTTCAATTTTGACTGGCGCCGCATACATTATCTCAAGTCTCACCCAATATTTTTATGTATACGTTAAAAAGGCAAATTGAAGAGACATGTGTTGGCAGTTATCAACACCCATTGTAGAAACGACAAAATTGCAGAATATTTTGAGAAGGTATACATGTTTGGTTTCTAAATACGATGATTTTTGGATAATTCTCCAATCTAGGCGTCGGCTTCAGAGGTAGGCTAGGTAGGGACTTATTAAGCTCACACGCATTGCAGCTTACAGTCTCATTATACAGGCAGATCGCTAGTGTATCCCTCTAAAGGATGTGTCCAGATACTAGAATTATAGTATCTGATCAACTGCAAATTGACTCTAGACTATATCCTGCAGATCTGGCATTTTTTGAAAATGTACTGAAAATGTCAAATGAGCCTATATACCTAGTAAACCTAGCCAACATATGTTCAAATTTGGTGTTAGGGAGATGTGTATTTTTTGTAATCTTTATGCAGCCGTCTTTATATGTCACATGTTATTTCCAGGAATACATAACTCATTTAATATACGATGTACATCTTTCACATTTGCACAAATAGTGCACCGAGATACCCAGAAAAGAAATAATATTTCATATGCCTCCAATTGCAACAGTTGTTCCTGGCACAATCATGAGTATGTTATTAACTTGCACAAGGATCTTGGAGTTGTACTTTTAGCTATAATGCATCGTATCATCATGTAAGCAAGATGCTGATTGGTTCATAATTCACGGCGCTAAAATGAACTCGACGGGCGTATAGATGTTTTTCAACGGGTGTTAGATACTGTTTTGACGCCCGCTATTGAACATTTTAACGCCGTTAGTTTACGCCTGTATTTGTTTTAACGCGTATAGAATTCACTTTTTAACGGGCGTAATTAACGCTTTGACGGGCGTAATTAACGCCTACACAGGCGTAATTAACGCCTACACGGGTGTAATTAACGCCTACACACCCGTAAACAACGCATGTATTCTTTATACTAATAGGCCAACCATACATTATAGGGCATTAGGGTTGTGCTTTATTTGTTTTATTTATATAAATGTTATAAAATGTGTACGACACTTTAATGAATTATTTTTAGGGTTACAATGCATATTTGACTTTTCCCTCTAAACGTTTTAAATTCATCTTTATACTTTTCTTAGTTTGCTTCAATAAAATTAACATCGGATCCCAGACAGTTATCAAATTCTCAGACATTTTATTAATATAGATATTTGTACTTCCTTTGACCAGTGGTGCTGGTGTGACTGAGATTCGAATCTAATCTGTTTCATTTTTATGTAAATATTGAGAGGAATAAAGTTTTATTTTAAGCGTTTTAACAATCTTAACGTTTGGCGTGCAGCTCAACTTAATACACAATCAAAGGACACAATACAGAAATAAGAACATGCCTTTTATTTGTTATTCAAGCTCGAGCAATATCCCCGTTATAAAACCAAAATAACTGCGGTTAGGTACCATATCTTGATTACAGTAAAGACAGGCCATCTCATTCTGGTATGCCAGAGCCACTCTTATCTGCCGATTGTGGAAGGATAAAGACAAAGGGGTCGCGGCTATCGCGATGAGGCCATCTTATTTCTAGGAATTATTTCTGCCTCTCATTCCTTAATTAAACCAGCTTCGTTAAACAGTGCCAAAATATATAAGTCGGAGCCCAAAACAAGACTATTATATTTAAATCTCCTCACCTTGTCAATGTCTATGCCTGCATCTGGTTTTCCCACCTTTGGGAGGGAGCCAATATACACAGATTACTTACTGGCCATGGACAGGGGGGGGGGGCACAGAAACGAACATTCTGGGGTCATAAGGGATACTTGGGGAAGGGGGAGGGGTGGTGGTGAATAGTGAAGTCCGGGAGTGAAGTTAAGGGGTACTGAAATCTTTCTTTTGATATTTAGTGCTTTAATGGAGACTTGTTTCCACTCCCCGCATTCTAGTAGAATTTAAATATTTGATCCAAAGGAGTTATTTTAAATCAAACTTGCATTCCGATTCATTAACACTCCAATGATTGTACCGCTTCACTATTGTCTAAGATAATTATAATGAATTCACGGGACACTATTGTCTTCCTTTTAAACTTTAGTGGTTGGATGGAGACTTGTTTCTCCACCCTGTACACTAGTAAATTTGTAAATTTTAAATATTTGATTTAGGGAGGTAAGTAGTTGTAGAAACAAGAGTTCTGGCACACCTATAACATGGAGTCCTATGGGGAGGGACACGATTTTTCATAGTACCCTCCCTAACATGGGCTCCAATGGGGAGGGACATCTGTGAGCCTCCCTGAGCTCGGGAGGCACATACGGGGACCCCACCCCTCCCCCCTCGGCGTGGTGGCGTGTACATATTTCGGGAATCTCGGGCCCTAAGGGTAACGGACGCCCTACCCCACGACTATACGTTCCGGAAGTTAGCCATTTTGACAGGAACTCAGCCATTTTAACCGGAAGTCAGCCATTTAACCGGAAGTCGGCCATTTTGAAGCTTTCTAGCAGGAAGTCAGCCATTTTGCATCTGTCTGGGCAAGAGGATGACATCATAGCGGAAGTGAGGCATCTTTTAGTCGGCCTGGGTAGGTTTTAAAGCGGAAGTTAGCCATCTTTTCCCTACCTCCTCCCACTTCCTCCTTACCTCCTCCTTACCTCCCCCCGCCTCCTCCCTACCTCCCCCCGCCTCCTCCCTACCTCATCATTACCTCCTCCCTATATCCTCCTTACCTCTTCCCACCTCTTCCTTACCTTCTCCCACCTCCTCTCTACCTCCTCCCGCTTCCTCCTTACCTCCTCCCATCTCCTCCTACCTCCTCCCTACCTCATCATTACCTCCTCCTTACCTCCTCCAACCTCTTCCTTACCTCCTCCCACCTCCTCCCTACCTCCTCCTTACCTCATACTTCCTCCTACTTCCACCCAACCTCCTCCTGTCTCTTCTCCATCTTCCAAACCTCCTCCCCTCCCTTTACTTTAATATTCAATAGTTTATAATGTTATAAATGCCTGTTTATGTTTACAATTGATCTT